ATTAATCAAAAAAAAAAAAAAAAAAAAAAAAAAAAAAGAAGATTAATCAATGTTTTTTCTTGTATCTTGGATCGATCTGAGAGAGAAGGAAAAATCAATTAAGCATGAGAAAAAAGCAACAAACTTGGAAGCTTTAGTCCGTAACTGCAGGGATGTTGATTCTTTGGAGAGCAGCACAAGGCAACGTGAAGATTTTTTAGATATATTTTTTTTATCAAAAAGAGTTTTGGAATTTTGACCGCTTTTTGGAATGTTCACTTATTTTTCATTCTCCAGAACTCCAATAATCGCCTTTTGATTCTTTATATGCAAACAAGTAAAAAGTTAAACTAATTGAAGAGTTAATTTTTTATTTAAAAATATTTAAAATTCTTTAGCTAGGAATATTATTTGTAACCAATATAAAATTCACGCGAAAAGGGATATATTAATGGATTAGAAAAGGAAAGATAATAACCCACCTCTATAGTGCCAAATTCATTTTAACAACAAATTTACTTTTTGCTCAAGGTGGGGGATATAAAAAGCTGGCTACCTAAAATAATAAACAAAATTTATGATTTGAAAAGCACATCAAGTGTTCATTTTCAGTATTCATTTCTAGTGTTTGACTCCAAGCAACAGCAAAAAAAAATCTAAATTATATAAAAACTAGGCAAACTATCAAATTTTCATAAGAATATATGACAGCCAGTTAATAGAAAACAGTTTAAAAAGACTTGGGAACTCATTCTCACTCAGTCACAATTCTTGTTATTTTCTTATAAGAATTAGAAAATTAATATTTTCATCCAGATTTTTAATTAAATTTTATATAGTGTTCAGTTAACTTAGTTTAATTATACCCCTACTGTATCATTTTAAATGGTGTTAAAGGTTTTTGTAAGAAGATTAAGAAAATATAAATTTTTTATATAGTTTATCTTGGTTACATAAAAATAATATTAAATAAAATTAATTCAACCGATAAGAAGAAATACAGTATTTTGTAATTGATATAACTTTTAAATGACATTAAACTTTATTTAGAATAGTGAAAATATCAATTATTATGAAATAAAATAATAAGTCTTAAACATCAATTAAAATGATATTGCTAATATCATCTAATGGAAATGTATGAAATAATTAAATCCGATATAGATTATACGAAGTCTAAGAGCACTATTATCCCCATCTCATCTCTTAAGAGGGTTGTTAAGGGCATTCAACCAGGGTGTTTAAGAGAGTGCTTATTGCATAGGTCCCCACAAAATACACTAGTACCAACTCTTCTGCATCCAAAAATAAGTAATTGTATTTTTTCAGTGGTTGCGATTGGACACGTGGACACGGCTGCATCCAAAATAAGCAACCGTGTTTTTTCAGCTGTGTTTTAAAATAAGCAACCATGGTGTCTAATGGATACGTGGTGGCTCGAAATTGGTCCATTTAAAAAAAAAAATCAGACAATGGGTGGGAAGCTGGGTTGATCATGCTTTAAACCTCTTCTTTAAAAGTTCGGTTTTTACACTATTCGCGAGTTCATCGACACGTGGCGATCCACGATTGACTTTTTTTTTAAGAAAAAAAAATCCTAAAAATCCTTACCTAAGAGGTAAGGGCTAATGATGCTCTAACCAACATTATGATCATCTTCTTTTCACAACTGCTTAAAAAATTCACTACTGTTTGTAAAGGCAAATGCATGGATAAAAAAGAAGAAAAACTTGGTGGAGTATTGTGCCATTAGACAAAATATTTAATGCTCAATAAGAAAATAGACAGATCAATGCACAAATACAAAATCAAGGGTCAAGACTCGATCGAGAAATGTGAATCTGGTTAGAGACAATGACATTTTTGAATATAGAATGTGCAAGATTCAAATAAAACAAAAATCAACCAAGAAAAAGTAGACCAATGACTTAAAGAACATTGTCATTACAAGAAAGAAAACAAAAACCTAAGAGACTGGAAAGAGAAAAAGTCAATGAGAGGTCGTGGTGAGATTAGGTTGAAGCATTGAAGGAAGGACGAGTGGGGACAATAATGGTATTGGATCTGTGCCGTTTCGGCAGAGCTCAGACGCAGACGTGGAAGTAGCTACGGTGGAAAGAGGAGGTCTTGGTGGTAATAAGAGAGGACAAGGAGCTCGTCTTTGAAGCCGGCAGCTTAAAGATCGCCGGAAAACAGAGTCGTCGTTGTGAACACTCATCTGAAAACCCGGAAACGGAACTCCTTTACGCCCTGATTCCTCCATTTTTCTTCTCGGTTCTTGATTTTCTTGATTTTTTTGTGAACTGGTGTTTTGGGGTTTGCGATGTTGATATTAATGTTGGTGCTTGTCTTTTCTTCTTTTTTTTTGAAGGGTTTAAACCTGATTTATAAAGTGGACGAGGTTTGGGAAAATAGGTGTTGCTTAGCTTGCGTATTTTAATTGAGTAATTAATTGAATGGATAATAATATATAACAACTAAGAAAATGCCTTTGAGAAAAGTATAAAATTGGGTGAAAGTTTGGCGGTTGTGTGGTGCGTGTATTGACTCAATAATGGAAGAAAAAAATCAATTAAAACTGGTCAATGGTCAATAGATTGGATAGGTATGAGATCTATCAATCTATTAGGTTATGTTTAGTCTTGGAATAATTCTGGCATGAGGAATGCGTTATTGTTGTTGTTGTTGGAAACATGTGGCCGCATACCGGCTGTGTATTTTTAGCTAACTTATATAGAGAAAAATCAATCGTGTTTTTGTTATATATCTCACGTAATTTAGGTGTTTTATATATACCAAAACCATACTCCAAATATATAAACCATTCATATTAAGCAGTATAAAATAAAATCAAAGTATAGACAGTCATGATGAGTGAGTGAAACGCCTAATATAAATATACCAAGATGCCTATAGTTTGTTAGTCCACCAAGTACTATATTAACTTGTAAAGAGTAAAAACATTTCATGTGGACATGAAAACTAGATACCTCACAGAAAGCAAGCAAAGCTCCTAAAATCTACATAAATAAATGGTTGTAAGAGCCCTAAATTCCAAAACAAAAGAATATTGATGTAAGAATATACTTTTTTATTATTTATTTTCTCATTCAATTAATTTTTGCAACTACATAAGATATAACTTCATCAAAAATCATACAAACGAAACTATGTTGTAAAATTCATACATATACATCCCAACCAATCATATCATCTATAATATTTCTTACTAACTCAATATTTTTAAATATGAAATGCGAGAAGAATCATGATGTTGACATTTAAACATTGTAATTAATATTACAACTTAATTTTTTCTTAACTAATACTATAAATTTTTCTTAATCAATATATTAAGGATAGTAAATATAGTGTACTTGTATTTTTTACATACCTACATTCAGCTACATATTATTCATCATTGTTCTATACGAGTGTATCAAATTCGACCACCACTCTCTTAAATCTAATACAGTCAGCAAATTTTGCAAACCGAATTAACCAAACAAACCTGGCTAACATTCTGTTACAAAAAAAAAAAAAAAAAAAAAAACCTGGCTAACATTCTCAAATCTTAAAAAGCATATGTGGAAATAAATAAATAAATAAATAAATTCAAAGTCAAAAGCCTCTCATAGAGTCAGAGGCTTTCTGGGCGTTATTTTTGGGCATAAAGGTAACCGTCACCGACGGTGAAATAACAGAAGGAGCAAAAAAAAAAAAAAAAACAAAAAACAATGGAGGATCTATGGAAGAGGGCGAAGTCGTTCGCGGAGGAAGCAGCGAAGAAGTCTCAAACGATCACATTACAATCATCCTCAACGACGCTCGCTAACCTCGTCTCGGAGACGGCGAAGAAATCGAAGGAACTCGCTCTCGACGCGTCAAAGAAAGCGGATCAGCTCAACGTGTCCGGATTCGTGGCGGAGACGGCGAAGAAGTCGAAAGAGTTCGCGGCGGAGGTTTCGACGAAGGCTGATCAGCTCAAGGTCGCGGCGTTGAAGCAAGCGGATCAGATCCAGAATATTAAGTCGATTGCTGATATTGTCGCATCTCCTCAGCTTGCGTGGTCTGGATCGGGATCTGTGGTATCTGAAACGGATCTGATTAGTTTTGGTATTACGGATGATTTGAGAGAGTTTGTTAAAGGATTAACGTTTGATACCTTTAAGGCTTTTCCCGTACAAGGTATGATTGGTGAATTGATGATTGTGTTATCATGAATCATGTGTTATAATGAATGTGCTATGAATCATGTGATGGATATGTTATCATGGAATGGTCTATGATGCATGTGTTATGTTGAATGTGTTATGGTGAATGTGCTATGAATCATGTGTTATAACAAATTTATCATACACATTCATCATTACACAGTCACCATAGATGTATTGTGTGATGGATACGTTATCATGAAATGTGTTGATGATGAATGTGTGTTATGGTGAATGTGTTATGATGAATCATGTGTTGTAACAAATTTACCATACACATTCATCATTACACAGTCACGATAGATGTATTGTGTGATGGATATGTTATCATGAAATGTGTTATGATGAATGTGTGTAATGGTGAATGTGGATAGATGAATCGGCGGAAGTTTCTGAAGTGGCAACAACGAGTGAGGCGAATGTACGGAAGGATCTATCGGAGTGGCAGGAGAGACATGCCACTCTTGTTCTTGGCTCTGTCAAGGTACTTGTTTTACTTGTTCATGATGTAGACTTGGTGATTTATGTTTGGGGTTTGTGTTGCAGCAAATTTCGAAGTTGAGATATGAGCTATGCCCGCGAGTCATGAAAGAGAGGAGGTTCTGGAGGATATACTTCACCTTAGTCAGCACTCATGTTGCACCGTAAGCCTCTCTCTCTTTTCAAACTACAGGTCCTTATAAAGTGTCGACACTCGGCAGTTTAGTAGAATAAAGAGTAAAGACTCTCAGATTGAGAATCGTTTTATATTCATAAGGGTGAGCAGCTTAAGAAATGTGATAGTTGAATTGAAGCTTCTTAACTGCGATAGTTGTCCATGGATTAAGCCTAAAGGATTTTTTTTGGTTCAGATACGAGAGGAAGTACATGGAGGAACTTAGGAACAAAGAAGAGAGTAAAGAGGAAGAAGCTAAGAAGACTCCAGGAGTTGGAGGGACAGAAACAGCTGATAAGAATGTGACAATAAATAGGACTTCTACTGTATCTTCTGAGAAGGATCTCGATACATTCCTCTTAGGAGATCTAGAGGACAGTGACGAAGCTCCTGGTGAGATATTCAACTTGTTGCTTGCTTCCCAAGTTTTAGTCTAATTTTTTTTTTGAGAAAAAACTGGTCTGTGAATTGTAATATTTTGCAGATGATGATGGTGATGGAAACCTGGATGAGGATTACTTTAATAAGAATGGTAACTCTGTAAGTTATATATTGGTTTCTTTCTGATTCGTAGAAATATACAACTGAAGAGAACATTTTGGTTCATAGTACGCTTTCATGTGTTTGCAGGATGTTGAAGAAGGAAAAGAGGAGATTAAATCAGCAAACTAGAGAATATATAAGTTTTTCATTTTGAGCAAAGAAAATATATTATTGTGGGACTATTACCTTATGGTATTGATTGTGTCATCATTATTTTATAGCTTTGATTCAACTAAGATGCAAAAGAAGACTCAATTTATTCACGTCAAGTTATCAAACAGTTTTAGAGACTATCCTTAATACTCCCTCTGTTCCTAAATAATCCATGTTCTAGACTTTTCACAAATATTAAGAAAACTCATTTAATTTTGATTGTAAATGCATTGTTTTTTGTGAATAACAATTTTCCATAACTTTTAACCAATAGAAACTCAATAAACACCATTAATTGTTTTTGAAACTTACAATTTTTCATTAAATCATTCATTGAAAAGGTAAAAAATACATCTTTTTGGAACAAAATATTTTTCTATAATATACATCTTTTAGGAACGGAGGGAGTATAATTCTCTAATACCAATAAGAAGATAAACTGAAAAGTGATCCAATAGTTGATAGGTTACATGAATGATGCAGAGATAACAAACTCAAAACCAGTAGACACTACTAACCATAATTTAAACCTTAACGATATAATATGATGGCCCTAGAAGCCGAACAAATCTACACAAAAGAGATATATATCTGTCAATACATTTAAATATATTGCAGCCATGTCACAGTGCTTTCATCCGCTTATAAGAATGTTCAGATTCTCCCTCAACACTTGGATTCCTTGACCGTGTAGAGCCTTCAATATCAGAGGATAATGGATTCTGCACTCACAAAAAACGTATCAAGATCATGACATATACAGTTACTCTCATGAATTTGAAAATGAGAACCTTATGTGTTAGTTCTTGATTGGCTCTCTTCCCAAGATCAATCTGCACAGACAGTTTAGCATGGGAGAGATCAACGCCTGCGTTTTGGAGTGCTTGTGTTAATGAGCTCAATAACCTGTTCATATCAGAACCAATGTACATATTAATAAGCAGCCAACACATCAATTGCCTAACTTATTGAGAAAAAGTAAAAGCTTACTCATGAGAGTAGGCAGTAGAGATGCTAATGGTTCCACCTTCAATAGCCATATCATTATTACTACTTTGGCCTAGCCCATCACTCGTTGCAGGGCAGTCACTATTACCTTGTTCACCGTGTACAAATGGAAAGAATGGTTGTACAGGCGGTAACTCCTTGTCATCTAACTCAGACTGACTCTCTATTGGTTTGAAGACTGTAGCTCTCCCCTTGTCAAATTCAACAGGGTTTTGCATTTCTGCAACATTAACAGGTGCAGAGGCCACTATATTTTCTTCAAACTTTCCTGGAAATGGCAACACCGGACCAGACCCATTACTTACAGCTACTTGATGGTTTGCTAAACTCTGAACTCGCCAGTGATTATTCCTCTGTTTCCAATTAAAAAAATAACGTAAAGATTCATCTAAAAGTTATACAACACTAGCAGCAGAATGGAGCGTAAGAAAATGTTTACAATCATAGAAACTAATAGAGAAACCATCAGAAAAAAGAGAGCTTTTTTACCCAAGGAGTCAACTTTGTAGGTTCCTGACTCCATCCTGGATACGGTCCTTCATACTTCTGCACCTTCTCTTGTAAATACTGAACATAATCTATCACCTAGAAATAGAAACATCCTTATCAAGCTAACAAGTTCTCAAAAAAAGCTAAAATATTTGCATACAAACATCCATGAAATTGTGGAAACACCCTAACCTACCGGTTAAAATTTAAAGGCTTATACACCCAGGTCTGGGGTCTGGACCCAGACACCCCAGACCTGGGGTTCGGACCACAGACTATGCAAATTTCTTGCAGATTACAGGAAATCCAAGTTTAGAATCCAGGAAAAAAAACATTTATTAATGCAGACTACAGAAGAAAAGCATACAAGACATATATATGTGAATTTTCTCGTAATTGCAATATCATAATAAATCAGCTTTATAAAAACAAAAACTTCCATGAAATAAATCACCTCTAAAAGGAAAGAAGCTGTATCTCTTTTCTGTTCACTATTGGGAATGATTTCTCTCAATACCTGAAACCTATTAAAGACAATCACAGATTCAGCATTTTTTATAAGTAACACAAAAAACACAAAGCTTGAAACTTTTAAACATTACCTTTCATTGATTTTGCTTCTTCTACGCTGCTCAGTGACTGAATGTTTAGACCGTATGGCACTAGCCTTATCGTTTTCCTTCACATCTGCTTCGAAAATCAAACACCGTTTCGAATCGAAATAGCTCCAATTAAGCACGAATCGAAGAGATAACAGTTATGAATTGGATCGGAGAAAAATTACCTCTGCTCGGTGCGGTGTTACTGTTGTTGGAAGAAGGGCCTTCGCGTTTCGAGGTGAAATCGTCTTCTCCGTAGTCTTCTTCCTCTAAGCTTCCCTTCCCGGTTCGCATCTTCGCCGGAGAATAAGATGAATTTTTTGAAGCTACTGTGTTTTTTTTTGTGTCGAGTCAAGGTTTTGATTATGTGCGGTAGAGACTCGTGAGCTCACCTCGAGTTTTTGGCCGTACGTTTGCTCGGTATGACACGTGTACGATGCGATGTTTGATACCCGGTTAGCTCAATTACCGAACCGTAAGGTGTGATGACACGTGGGGTTCACGTGATGAGTCAGGAGTTTAACCTATCAGGATTGAGGATGAAGGCTATCACGTGATGCACGTGGTCTTTTGTGATCTGTTAACTAACAGTGTTTGTTTTTGATGGAACGGTAGGATGGTTCAACTTTCATTCTTAAACACCCTTATAGTATTTTTTATTCATAGACTCCTAATGTTTCACAATCATACAATGCTGTTGCATGGAAAGGTTTGTGTTTGCATTTCTGAATTTTTTATATCTAAGAGACTAAGAGTTACATAAGTTATCTAATCTTTCATATAATTCTCCATTTAAAAGTTAAAACAAAAGAAATCTGGACTAGGTTTAAACATGACACAGGTTTATCCGGTTCAGTTTTCAAAATAATGGATTTGGCTTTTTATCGAGTTTAGACTATGAGGGGTTTAGGGTTTGATCATGTGGGCATTTGCAAGCCCAAAATCTATTAAGGCAAAAAGGAAAATGATTATCAGAGCCACGTCGATCCTGGGACCTGTGGGTTATGGGCCCACCACGCTTCCGCTGCGCCACTCTGATTTTGTTGTTTGTATCGCTATTCAATAATATATATTTCCGGTTTTAAGCCAAATACAAAGATCCACGAGAACCAAAGGTTTAATGAAGGGTTTATTTCGGAGGCTGTACTTCACGACGTCTTCTCTGTTCTCCAGTTCTCTCTTCTATTCACTCAAGTCTCACTTTTATCTGATCATGTTGCTTTAGTCCTCAGTCATCAATTTCTCAACCATTTGTGATTACAAAATGTGGAGAAACATCGCGGCCAGAGCCGCTTTGAGAAAGATCAAACCTTTCTCCGATCCCACCTCCGGAAACAGAATCCACACCCTCCTTTCATCAACTGATCTCGTGGGCAACGCTCAAAACCGATCCTCCACAAACCCAATTCACGAATTGGGAAGAGCAACCTCTGTTCTTCACGATCCCCGTTCTCCCTTCACAGACTTCGCCACAGCTGCACAAACCATCGAACCCACTAACCCAGAAGACGATTCCTCATCCGGGTCCGAAGAACTCAACGAACTAACGATCAAATCAGAGAAGAAAACAGAGACAATCCGCCAAAAACCGAAACTTTTAGCGAAACAGTCAAAGTACAATTCTCTGAAACAGAGACAAGTGAAGCTCGAGACGGAGGAATGGGAAAGAGTTGCGAGAGAGTGTCGTGAGATTATAGAAGATATGTGCGAGCAGAAGCTTGCTCCGAACCTTCCTTACGTGAAGTCTCTGTTTTTAGGGTGGTTTGAGCCTCTGCGAGATGCGATTCAATCTGATCTTGATGCGTTTAGAGTTAAGAGAGGGAAGATCCCTTATGCTCCTTATATGGAGCAGTTGCCTGCTGATATGATGGCTGTTATCACTATGCATAAGATGATGGCGCTTTTGATGACTAATGCTGAAGGTGTTGGTGTTGTTAGGGTGGTTAATGCTGCTACTAATGTTGGGGAAGCTATTGAGCAGGAGGTGTGTGCTCTTGATTATTGATTATGCTAATGTGTTATAAAGTTAAGCAGAGCCTAGTGAACCATTGGTCTTGGCACCCAAAACGTTTTAGAGTTACTTTTTAAATCAAAACATATAAGCCTTTAAATTTTGAAAAAAATATTTCTTTACATAAAAATATAAGTCTCTAAATTTTTGGAATTTTTTTTTTACTAAAGCCCTGGATATAGATTGGTTTAATGGTATGTGTGTCTTGTTACTTGGACCAGGCCAGGATCAACAGCTTTATGCAGAAAGGTAAGAAGACGGTCAATGATGATACAGAAGCTGTGGATGCTTCAGGAGGGACTGAGACTAAAGAAGCGGTGAAGCTGAAGAAGCAAATTAACACACTGTTGAAAAAACATAAGGTGAGGCGAGTAAGTGGAATAGTGAAGGCACATGACTCGTTTAAGCCATGGGGTCAAGAGGCTCAAGTGAAGGTTTGTTTATTAGTTATCACAACTTGTTCATTGCAAAAGGCTTTTATAGTAAATATTGTGGCTCTTGCATTTCTAGGTTGGGGCACGTTTGATTCAGTTGTTGTTGGAAACTGCTTATATACAACCTCCAGTAGAACAGTTTGAGGATGGTCCACCAGAGATCCGACCTGCTTTTAAGCAATCTTCCAAAAATGTGACATTAGAAAATACGTAAGAGTCTTGCGATAATGTTACGTCTCTGTCTTTCCTTTTACCTGATCCTTATGTAATCTTGTGTGTTCCTCATCAGAAAATTAAGTAGGAGATATGGTTGCATCGAATGTGATCCTTTGATCCGAAAGGGCCTTGACAAATCAGTACGCAGAATTTGGGGACTATGTTTTTGCTGTTTTTTCATATACCTTTGTGGTGTTTGGCGTGAAGTGAACAATCTTTTACCCTGGAGTCAGAATCTTTCTACGATTTTCTAACTATTTTCCTTTTTTTTTGATCAGGCTAGACATATGGTCATTCCCTACTTGCCAATGCTAGTACCTCCTCGGAATTGGACAGGGTATGAGATGTTTGCTCCTTTTCTGGGCATTCGTTTATGTGTAGCTGTCATGGTATATCCTGAAAAGTTATCTCATACAAGTATGTTTCTAAATTGTTGTGTAACTTGACAGTATTTTGCAGGTATGATCAAGGGGCATATTTTTTCCTGCCTTCATACATCATGAAAACCAATGGATCTAAACAACAACGTGTTGCAGTAAAACAAACTCCCAAGGCGCAACTGGAGCCAGTATTCAAGGTTTGAGTTCATTTATCTGTATTGCGAGTTAATGGGTGGCTGAGCTTAACTATTGGATGCTTAAAAGCAGAATAACAGAAAAGTTCATGTGATTACTTTGATTTAACCAGGCGTTAGATACTCTTGGAAACACAAAATGGAGAATAAACAAAAAGGTGTTAAGCTTGGTGGACAGAATCTGGGCCAATGGAGGTCGTCTTGGTGGTCTGGTTGACCGTGATGACGTGAGATCTCTCTCTCCGCCTTCCTTTTCTTGATCTGCTTCTGGTTCTTGTTCACTCGTCTCCTAACATCTTCTTCAGAGAGGATAATAACCTTTGTTCCTACTTCTCATTCACAAACTTTCTAAACTTCAAAAGGTACCCATTCCAGAGGAGCCCGACAGTGAGGACCAGGAAAAAGTAAAGCAATGGAAATGGAAATTTAAGGAAGCAAAAAAGGAGAACAGCGAGAGACATTCACAAAGGTGTGATGTAGAGCTCAAACTTGAGGTAAGAAAAGGCTGCTTGTTTGTTGCTCTGATCTATGAGAACATCATTGTACTTTCATTTGAATAAGCAGGTGGCACGTAAAATGAAGGACGAAGAAGGTTTCTACTTCCCTCACAACGTTGACTTTCGTGGCAGAGCGTATCCCATGCACCCATATCTTCAGCATCTCGGGTCTGATCTCTGCCGTGGCATCCTTGAGTTTTGTGAGGGAAAGCCTCTTGGGAAATCAGGATTGCGGTGGCTGAAGATACAAATAGCAAACTTATATGCTGGTGGTGTTGATAAGTTTGCTACTGAGGATCGAGTTGCATTTACCGAGAGTCACTTAGAAGATATATTTGATTCTTCTGATAGACCTCTTGAAGGGAAAAGATGGTGGCTTAATGCAGAGGATCCCTTTCAGTGTTTGGCTGCTTGCATGAACCTTTCAGAAGCTTTGAGAAGCCCTTTTCCTGAAGCAGCTATATCTCATATCCCCATCCACCAGGTACTCGCTAACTTGTGTCATCAGAAGTAATAAAATGTTGGTGGTTAAGGACTTTTCAGAAACACTGTTATCTTTTGTTGGTGCTGTGCGTTAGAAAAAGGCTTCATATCACAATGTTATCTTTTGTCTAAGTAGAAAATCTTACTTTCTGTGTTAATTTTTGTTGCAAGGATGGCTCATGTAATGGTTTACAACATTATGCTGCTCTTGGGAGGGATGAGGTATGCCATGAGTAGACATCCATTCACACATAGGGAAATAAATTTCCCATAAGGTTATCTGATTCAGTTATTTAATTGGTTCTGTTCATCGACTGGAGCAGCTGCTGTCAACCTCTTTAGAGGTGAAAAGCCGGCTGATATATATACAGATATTGCTGCTAGGTACTGCTTCTATCTCTCCATCCCCTTATGATAAGGGCCTTATCTCTCTGGCTACAGTGACACTGTTATCGACAAATCTTTTTATTTGGTTTTAAATTTTTAATCAGGGTTCTCAAGATCATGCAGCAAGATGCAGAGGAAGATCCTGAAACGTTTCCCTATGCCAAGCTCATGCTTGACCAGGTTTTTGACATTGCTTGCTTGTTAAATTGGATCACTTTATGTCAAAACATATTACCTGCCAACCAAAGTTTTCTTTATGACTAGCTTATGAACATACTATTGAAATTCCTTAGGTTGACAGGAATCTGGTAAAACAGACTGTCATGACGACAGTGTATGGTGTTACTTACAGTGGCGCACGTAACCAAATTAAGAAGAGGTTAAAAGAGCGTGGTGCCTTTGCTGACGATTCTCAAAACTTTCATGCAGCTTGTTATGCAGCAAGTGTAAGGAAATGATAAACTGTGAATGACTTTTCTGTATTTTGGAACCAAATGCTCACTCTTTTCTGTATTTTTACCAAATGCTCACTCTTCTACTGGTTCTGTTTCTAAGGTCACTACTAACGCACTGGGAGAGATGTTTGGAGCTGCTAGAGCCATTCAGTTTTGGTTTGGTAAATGTGCAAAGGTGAGTGCTTATATCTCTTGTTTGAACGAATTTTGACTTGACAATGAGAGGTGTTTCCTGTGGTGGACAGCTAATAGCTTCACAAAACAAAGCAGTTTGTTGGACGACTCCTCTTGGACTTCCAGTTGTACAACCCTATCGCCAACCTGGAAGACACTTGGTAATATTCTCTTTTCACTTATTTGACTACTTGAAGAACACAAATTATTTGAGAGGCATCAAATTTTGCAGGTTAAGACTACCCTTCAGGTGTTGACTATACAACGAGATACTGAAAAGGTTTAAGCCTATATCTTCTTGTCTAATATTTGACAAGTTTTAAGCCGTATTGTCTCAACTTTGTTCCACCATATTCTTGGTTTAGGTCAAGGCAAGGAAACAAATGACAGCTTTGGCACCAAACTTTGTACATTCCCTTGATGCATCTCACATGATGATGACAGCAATCGCTTGCAACAAGGCCGGTTTGAGTTTTGCAGGTCAGCTCTAAGCCTTTCCATATACATTTTACTGATATAGATTTGGTGCATGAGTCCATGACTCATTACCCAAAATTTGTAGGGGTGCATGACTCATTCTGGACGCATGCAAGTGATGTTGATCTAATGAACAAAATACTCAGAGAGAAGTTTGTTGAGCTCTACGACAAGCCAGTCTTGGAAAATGTAAAATAATCTCCTTATTTACCAATGCTTTCTTCACTTGTTTTATAACTAAACTCGTGTTTGGATGGTTTTTTATCTGTTGTGTATTTGGTAGCTGTTGGAGAGTTTCCAGAAGTCCTTCCCAAGCCTAAAGTTTCCACCACTGCCAGAACGAGGCGACTTTGATCTAAGAGAGGTCTTACGGTCGCCATACTTCTTCAGTTAATTAGTTGCAGCACATTCAGGTCACTTACATAATAGAAGCTCCAGCTTGCCTCTTTGTGCCAATAATAATAGCCACATTGATCAAAGAGTAAAGATTATTTGCAATCAGCAATGAGGAATGCTGATGCTTAGGGTTACTTGTAAATAAGAAAGGAAGAAGAGTGTTTCACATCTTGGCAACAGGGAAGGCGTTGGATCGGAGTATCGAACCAGTGGCACCCCAGAGTAGTGGTCTTAGTAGACTCGAAATCAGTAGGCTTTTTATTTTGAATAACAAGAATTTGTAAATACTTTATTTCTAATAAAACTCCCAGAATCGTAGGATCGGCTGTGTTACATATATCATGATCTCTATAAGTTCACCTCTCCTCACTCATAAGTCATAACCATGGTTTATAGTTATAAAATTTTATTACAAAATTTTCAAAAATATATATCTTTTTGAAAATTATTAAAATTTAATCGTAAAATTATTAATTTATTATATATTTACAAATGTAATAAATATTGTCTAATTTTAATTTTTGATAATTATAAAAGTTTCTACAAATTTATTTAATATACTTAATTAAAATAAATAGATAAAAAAATCTGTCTAAGATTATAATTTTAAATACATACATGCATATTCTTAAATATAATTTAAAATAAACAAAAATATTTTTATATTACTTTTTATGTTTAATTAAACAAAATTTTGTATTAAAATAGTGATAAGAAAAATAGAATTTATAATAATAAGAAAATTTTAATTTTAAACATAATTTATATTGTATATGTTAAAAAATATTTTAATTTTTTTTATTGCACATGGTGCTGGAGAACACCTAGTTCAGTTTAAATATTTAGGTGGAAAAGAAATAGATATATTCAGTATTTTGAACATTTTTTTGTTATTTTAAAATATCTACTTATGAATACTTTTATAATTAATAGTTTTGAATATCTAATAGATATAAAATTAAAAAAATTAATATATTTAAGTATATAATGATGATTTATATATTTTTGGTATCTAAAATATTTTAGTTTGGATCGGATTTGGGTATGGATTTGGATATTCAAATTTTAGATCCTACTAAATATTTAATCATTTTTAATTTCAAATCAAGTTCAGTTCTAGGGATCCATATACTGACTTAAACTTAGGAAAAATAAAATCAAAGTAAAAATAAAATTTTTGAGTTTATTTAAATACATATTAATTAGACCATATTTTAAGAATATCAATAAAATTGGTTGAACGTTGTGTTAATGTTGTTGAATATGTTGCAAAATTGACGTAGTATATAGTCAATAAAATATATTTTCTTATAAAAATGTTAGTAAATATAATAAAAATGATACAATCGAGTGAATGGTTAGAGTTGCGTTGAAAATAATGTAACCCCGTTAGTTGATACCTGAGTTCTATTTATTATATTAAGTTTTTAATTTTCCTTCTTTTTTTCTTCTTCTTGATCAGCGAAGATAAAACATCTTTATCAGATAATTTTTTTTTTTTTTGAAACTGGCATTCCTTATCAGATCATTCACAAGTTTTTTCAACAATTAATTCTAAACATTATTTAACTAATATTTATATTTTATTAACTGTTGGTAAGGATTCTCTAGGGCTACGCCACTATATGAGAAGACTATTCCCTAGTTAGTAGTTAAAATCATCTCTTTTTTATCTTACAAACGCAAACCCAAACCCAAACCCAAACAGTTGTGCAAAATTTTCCTGAACTCATCTCTAAAGGTATGTTGTTTCTTCAATCTCCTGAATCATCTGTTGCCCATTTTCTACCCTTGAACTCGAGTCATGGATGTTCATGTTGGATAAGCTTCATTAAGATCTGAGGGTAATTCCGTATGATTTGTGTGTGCTAATTAACGAGAAATTGCACTTATTTCTTTTTTCCAGATGGTGATGCGAATCTTCATAAAGACTCTTATAGGCAAGTTCATAACTCTTTCCGTCCGAAGCTTAGACACCATTGGCAACGTCAAGACAAGGATACAATATATGGAAGGAATCCCTAGCGACAAGCAGATGCTTATCTTTGCTGGAAAACAGATGGAGGATCACCATACCTTGGCTGATTACAATATCCAAAAATATTCAAATCTACACTTGGTTATTAAGTCGGGAAGAATTATCCCAATCTTCATAAAAACTCATATAGGCACGACCATTACAACTCTTTACGTCCGAAGAAGCTCAGATACCATTGGCGATGTCAAGACAAAGATACAACTTATGGAAGGCATTCCTAGCGACAAGCAGATACTTATCTTTGCTGGAAAACAGATGGAGGATCACCGTTCCTTGGCTGATTGCAATATCCAAAAAGAGTCATCTCTATACTTGGTTAATGCAAATCTTTGTTAAGTTCCTTTCAGGCAAAACCGTAACCCTTTTGGTCCAAAGCTCAAGCACCATCAACAACGTCAAGACAATTATAAACATAAGGGACGTGTTCCTACCGACCAGCAGATGCTTCTCTTTGCCGGAATTCAAATGGAGGATCACCTTACCTTAGCTGATTACAATATACAAAAAGATTCATCTCTCCACTGTGTTTGCAGGTTGAGTGATAGTATGCGTATCTTCATAAAGACTCTTACGGGCAAGACTATAGCCCTTGATGAGGTCAAAAGCTCAGACACCATTAAAAACGTCAAGGACAGGATCAAAGATAAAGAGGGAATCCCTACAGACCAGCAGATGTTGGTCTTTGGCGGTCAACAGCTCGAGGATGGCCGTCGCTTGGCGGATTACAACATCTGGAAGGAGTCAGTACTTCTCATCCATTTTTTAGGTAGCGGAATGCATATATTTGTGAAAACACTCACTGGTAAAACCATTACCTTAGAAGTTGATAGCTCAGACATTATTGAGGATGTAAAGACAAAGATTCAAGACAAGGAAGGGATCCCACCAAACCTACAGATAATCACGTACGTTGGTAAACAACTCGAGGATGGTCACACGATTGCATATTATAACATCCGAAAGGAGTCAACACTTCACCTTTTATTAAAATTCACGTAAAATAGACTTTTATCTATATTTTTCTTTTTCTTTTTTGTTTCTTGTTTCTGGTTTTTATATCAAACTTTTTTTTCTTATGAACATGAAACTTGATCGGATATTTGAATTCTGATGTGTCTTTCACTTGATCTCCTATCTTTAACTAGGTAGTATATAACCCGTGACTTACGTGGAATGAAATATTTAATAAAACATAGGTTGAAAATGTATGAAGTTATAATCATTTTGTTAAGGGACATGTAATTTACATTTACGGGGCGTAATAAAATGTAGGAGGATTGAAAATTTAATCTTTTCAAACCTCACGACACATAGTACTGAATGTTGGCCACGAAGCTAGATAGTTTCATTAACATATGAAGCAAACTTACCCTACAACATCAATGAAATTCAGTCATCCCTAAATTCTTTCTAAGTGTATAAAAATCTATAAGATAACTAAGTCGTATGAGTAAAGTAATTCTTTTGCTATATGTCCACAACCATGGATACATTTGTTTAATTCATTTCTCTTTATATGTGTTTTCTCATCTGCATATGTAACATACATTTAATTCATTTTTCTTGGAAACCTGCTTTTTAATATCGACTTAGTCGCATCGCAGTACCCGTCGCAAGATCTCTGTCATAGATTTTACTGTAACTACTCAACAATTTCTCCGTCTCTATCATCACTAGCTTCTTGCATGTTGTCGTACGCTTGAGATTGGTTTACAATATAAACAAGAAAATATTCTGAGAGTTACATTAGCAATGAAGATCATATAGACTTCTTGTAATATTAAATGGCAAGTCAACAATATAAAGCATCCTTGTAAATTCGATCCAAATGATCCTTCATTTGAGCAAATACGCTCTAACAATTTGTGAGAAGCTAGATTTTCCTTCTTTTTTTTTTAAGAGAATTTTGTTTCATTCAGCAATTTCGGCAAATCTCTAGGTTTAGAGTTACTTTTATTATTCTCAAACTCATCTTTTAACATTTATATTTCCAATATTTTATGCTCAAGCGCTCTTAACAAATAATTGCATAATTTAATAGTTGTTAGAAGTAACAGGAAACAAATGTCAATTCTATAAATGACAAACATACACATTTGTCTTGTGAATAATTTTATATGTGAATCCCTTATATATTAAAGGAGAAACATTTAAAAAATTGTAACCTCAATTTTGTAATAATTAAAAAAGACCTCATGTTTAGGTGTCACTCAATTAGGTTGTCAATTACATTCAATTGAAAAATAAGTAGGTCCACATTCGATTTTTATAAGTCGTTAGATACATTTGTTGGTCAAATTATATGATATGATGATATGATATGGTATTTATGATAGAAGCATTTATGATTGTTCCCATAGATATAATTACTATTTTATTTTCTTTCCATAAATAAAACCTACGTAATTACCATTAATGACTAATATATATATGACACTTAATGATTCAAATAATAAATATCTGATAACAGTTTATATATCCTCCATCATCTTTCTTTAATTTTATATTATTAAAATAAATTAAACAATCAAATTAGCTATAAATTAAACTTTAGATTTTAACATTTAAAAATCGTAACCTCAATTTTGTAATAATTAAAAAAGACTTCATGCTTAGGTGTCACTCAATTAGGTAGTCAATTACATTCAATTGAAAAATATGTAGGTCCACATTCGATTTTTATATGTCGCTAGATACATTCGTTAGTCAAATTATATGATATGATGATATGATATGATATGATATTTATGCTAGAGACATTTATGATTGTTCCCATAGATATAATTACTATTTTATTTTCTTTCCATAAATAAAACCTAAGGAATTACCATAAATGACTAATATATATATATATGACACTTAATGATTCTAATAATAAATATTTGATAACAGTTTATATATCCTCCATCATTTTTCTTTAATTTTATATTATTAAAATAAATTAAACAATCAAATTAGCTATAAAATTAAACTTTAGATTTTTTCGTATAGGTTATATTTTGAATTTTAACAAACGAGAATAAATAACTAAACTACTAAAATTATTATGTTAGAAATTAATGATCAATAGTTTAACATTTTTATTATAAAAAGATATACATGATTTTAAAACCATATAAGTAAAAAGTATCATTCAATAATAAAAAATATATATATACAGATTAAACTATATACCATATAAGATTACATAAATATTTTAATTTCAAAATTTTCAATAAATTTTTAAGAACATTTATAACTTATAAACTTATTAAATTTTTCACATTGAAAATTTTTGTTATTAATGATTTAAATATCTTAGTTCTTTTTTTTAATTTTATATTTTTAAAAGATATTAACAAACGATAATATGGTTATTTTTGGTATATATCATACAAACCGAATGGATGTGATTTTATAAAAACCATAGGATTTGGATATGGTTTGATTTATAACCGATTAATCTGAAACATGTAAATATGTATATATTTATAACAACGCATGAATATCTATTTGTTACATGAGTTGAACTATAATTATAATTTTTAAATAGCTAACAATTTATTACAACTGAGACTTCTTATTTTGATCTTTTGCTTTTTTAACAGTAACTAAATTGAAGTAACGATTATAAATTTGATGGACAACAATTAGTTTGAATTCTTTACAACTTTTTTTTATCTTTAAACAAGCAGAGTTGTGTTCAATCGAAGACATATTGGTTTGATGAACACTAAATATGGAAGAATATAAAAACTTTTCTTTCATGCTTCTGTTTTGTTTTTTATTTTTATTTTCAAAATTTAGTGTTTTGATATTAAAAAAGTGTTTTGATATTAATTTTTATTTTCAAAATTTAGTGTTTTGATATTAATCGTAGATTTGATCATTTTATTAGATTATAGAAGCCTTTTGTTTTTTATTCTTTTATTTAAATATATAATATTTTTTTAATAAATGACTTTGTGACAATATGACTCTAAATATGATCATATTATATATTTGTATAATATATAATATGATCTCAAACTAAATGATTATGTTTTTTGGTATAAAATTGAATAAACTGAAAACCGATGATATATAAAACAAATCAAACTGAAGTACATATAGATTTAGAATAGTAGTTATATTTTAATAATCGAAATATCAAAAAATCGAGCCAAACCGAAACCCGATATCCGGATTGAACACTTGTAATCCGAATAAAACCGAACTATTGTTTCATTTTTCAAAACATAATAAAAATAATAGCTTTATCCCGTGCAAGGCGCGAGTCTTATCCTAGTTGTAGTTAAAAGAGGTTTTGGATGATTAATTAATTATTAAATTTCATAATTAATATGTATTGGTTGTTTATTTTGGAAGATTTTGGTATTTAAAGAAACATTTAACACAATATTGTTCTTCATTATATATTTTTTATCAATGTCAATTAAGTATCGTAAGTAAATTGTTCCCATTTGTTCAATCATTTGATAACCAAAGTCATTCTTGAAAAAATGATCATTATGAGTTTGACTCAATAGAATTTGATCAGTTTTTTTTTTGCCCTTAAGGTGGAGAACTGAACTAAGAATTCTCTCTTTTTTTTTTTATCAATCGATTCACTATTCGCAACCCGTGAATTTATTTTATCATCAATCCAATCATCGTTCATGTTTTTTCTTTTTCTTATCAAATGGTATATCTAACTTTCTTCCCCGTTCACGTTTTTTCTTTTTCTTATCAAATGGTATATCTAACTTTCTTCTCCATTTGCAATTGACTGATTATAGATTTTCTACATTCTTTTTCTTTTTTCCTAGCGAAGTAGCAACTCCTCCGCCCTCCTGCATACCTACCTCGGCATCTTTCATTGAAAATATACCCCTAGTCATATGTTCAATAAATAATTGTTGTATATGCAAAAATTCTATTTTATCTATAAAATATAGTATAAATAAACACAATATGATCTTTATTTGTAACGCTTGTACATTGTACACTAGACTTCTAGAAATTAATAATATTAAGATTACACCAAAACTACAATTTTTTATTAATTTATTGATAAATTAATTGAACCAAAAAACTCAATTTAAGACTATAAAATTATATTATTTTATAGAGATTTTTAGTACATATCAATTTAAGACTATAAAATTATATAAATTTAAAGAGATTATACTGTATATTTTCTAAGAAAAAAAGACAACAATAAATATGAGAAATTACCAAATGAAATAATATTTCTTCAATATTTTCACCATGAATGTTGTCCATTTTATTCCTTTTAGATATTAAAATGCGGTGAGCGTGGATCGAACACGCGACCTTCAGATCTTCAGTCTGACGCTCTCCCAACTGAGCTATCCCCGCTACATGTTGTAATTTAGCTACATGATTGTGATGAAATTTAGCTGTACTAGTTTTGGCCAAAAAAATATTAATAACTCTTAAATATTCTCATTATGTTGCATTATTAAAATTCATAAATAAAGTAACTTTTAAATATTGTTATTCTTAACTATTATCATGTTATCTGTATTTTTATAAATAGGTGAAAATAATAAATTAGATTTTATTTCTAGATTTGTGGATATTATATGATAATAATCTGTCTAATTATAATATATCATATCTTAATATTTCTAGATTTGTTTAAGTATTATTATCTTATTTTGTTTAGAATTATAGAAATATACTTATGTATAAAGAATCACTATAGTAATTAAAAAGTATTAACATTTGAAAACTCATAAATAATTTAATATTTTAAATATGGTCATTATTATCTATCATATATAACTGAAAATTAAATTTGCAATAGATTTCTTCCTTCTATAAAAGAAGATAATCAGACTTCTCTCTTCATCACAACTTAAAATAACAAAGAAAATTTTCAGAGAGTTACATTAGCAATGAAGAACACATCTCTCAAGCTTGTCTTCTTGTTCTCCCTCACAATTATAGCATTTTGTATGTTTCTTCCTCGTTATATAATTTTGGTTTGTTTTTTTTTTTATTGAAGTTTGCGGTGTGTATATGTGAAGGTTCATATTTGGTTGATGCAAGAGAGATGACAGAAGAAGTGAATTGCCTAGACAGAAAATGTGTAACACCTACAGCGGAGAACATTGTGATTTGCCACAAAGATGACGACTGCAAAAAGTACTGTCCCAAAGAATGCCAACCTAGTAATCCTTGTGTCTTTACATGTACTAAATCAGGAGGCTGTTTATGTCAGTGTAAAGGGATCTAAAAGAACCATAAGCAATAAACAATTCAAATATATATTTTAATAACATTGTTTAAATCAATTTATTATTCCCATTCAGAACACATATCTGCACCATTCACAATACAATTGGAATATGATCCAGTTTAAGTTTAATGCTTGTGTTGAAAAAAAAAAAAGAAGTATGAAACAGATCCTATCAAAAATGTCTCCATGTTTAATGATTGCTTCTGTTTCAAGTTTCAACCCTCTCTTCTTCTCCTTTCAAACTCTAAAACATTTCATTGCAAAGCTTATTCGTAATTCAAGTATCTAAAGATAATGAATATTCGGAGTGATGCGACTCAATCTTCTCTTTTAATCCAATGATGATATATTGATATGAGAAAAAAACATGTATGAAGAAACACATTATGACATTAAACTTGCGAAATGAATAAAACATATGTTGCTAGTTTAGTGCCTAGCTATTCTTCAGTTGAACTACTAGCTTCATTTTAGCGGTTGGGCTTGGATTGGGCTTTGAAATTTCCAATATTCTTTTCTTAAAATACGAGAGGATCAAAGTTAAAACAAAAGTCTGGCTTGATATATAATTTACACATATATATAATTAAAAATGTTATAATTTTGGGTTTGATTATGAAGATATAAAATAAAATTCTGAGTCACGTCTTTTTTTTAATCAAAATTATTTTTTTTGATCAAACAATTCAGAGTCATGTCTAAAAACATCCAAACAGAAGTCACTACTGGACAGTAATGTGGCCGTCACTTTGGGTAAATTTATCAACGACAAATTAAACGACAATTAGGGTACAACAGTACGTACCAAACATCTTAATAATTAATAAGGCCACGTACTTCACTTAGTGATGCAATCTTACACAAATACGACGTTAATTACGTAATCTCCTCGTCATGCATCCATGAGCAGGCCCTAAAATTGCAAAAAGAAAAAAAAAATTAAAAGGAGATTAGTGCATTTGCACCCTGAGAGACAGTTTTAAGTTTTTAATATCACAATAAGGCAGTTTCTGCTCCTAGGACACTTTTTCCTAACTTATTACATTCATCACTAACTAAAGTATAACTAGAACATAATTAGTAGGACCCTCTGAATTTTTATATTCTTTTTTTTTCTCAGATCTTTTTTTCTTTTTAAAGTTTCTTTATCAGTACACTAATTCATAAAATAAAAAATACAATCTCATCTTTTCTTCTTTCACGGCTCCTCTTCACCGTGTTCTATGGAAGAAATACACTTTCTAAGAATAATGGAAAAATACACTTTTGTTTTGGACAATTATGGAAGAAAATACAACAGCAGATAAGTATTTGATGGAGAAGAACTACGGTGATTTGAATATAATATGCAAAAACTTGAAATTAATTTTTTTTTTTTCTGTTTTTGTTTGTTTTTTATTCTAATTGATTAATCTATATAATATTTGTAAGTTCTAGAGGTAAAAACGCAAAATAATGAATATTGTATGATAAAAATTAATGGCGGTTATGAAATATATTTGTAGAAAACACAGAAAATCCTAATATGAAGAAGATGATGTTATTACAAAATTGCCACTCATTAAAAAAAAATTTAGGATGGGACGACCACGTGTACGTGTACATAATGTTAGTGTACACATGTTTGTGTACACAAGTACATTAGATGACAATGTAGATGTATACATAATGTTAGTGTACACATGTACATATTTAAGATCCTCGTTGTTGTACATGAAATTTATTTTAGGTCTTAATATCATATGTGTTATACTTCTGACTTTGTTTCGTACAATTATAGATGTACACATGTACAATATTATATATCTATGGTGTACATATATACTTGAATCATGTCTCACTAATAATTCCAAATCCATAAACACAAAAATATCAAATTGAACAGCTTTAATAAGTTTTAGTGTCAAAATACATCCTTTCGCGAATAGAACAACCTTAAAAAAAAGTATTACACGGAACAACCTAAGAAGAGAACATCCTAAAAACAAAGTACACATGTCTGTGTACACATGTTTGTGTACACAAATACATTAGATGACCATATAGATGTATACATAATGTTAGTGTACACATGTACATATTTAAAGTCCTCGTTGTTGTATATGAAGTTTATTTTAAATCTTAATATCATATGTGCTATACTTCTGACTTTGTTTCGTACAATTATAGATGCACACATGTACAATATTATATATCTATGGTGTACATATATACTTGAATCATGTCTCACTAATAATTCCAAACCCATAAACTCAAACATATCAAATTGAACAGCCTTAATCAATTTTAGTGTCAAAATAAATCCTTTCGCGAATAAAAGAACCTAAAAACAAAGTATTACATGGAACAACCTAAGAAGAGAGCATTATATGAGTCCAAAAGCCCTAATGTCCATTTATCTCGTCTATTTTCCAAAATGAAGAACAACAAGTTGATAAACAAAACACAAAATACAATTAAATTTGCATTATATAATTTCAGAAGATGCACACGACAAAAAAAGAAGAAGAGATTAGCAAGCTTGATAATATATCTAACATATCAGATACTCAATTTACCAGCACCACCATCAACATCATCGCCATTATCATTGTCATTTTCATCTTCACATTGCGTGTGTACAATATAATATAATAAAATGTGTAATAATGAGGTGTACATGCGTACGTTAAATATGATAGTGTACACACGAATTTTTTTATTTATTTTTTCATTAATAAAATTACGAAAATAACCTTGTCTTCTTTCTTAGTCATTGTCGACCAGAAAACCTAATTCCGCCTCTTTCACTTATTTTTCATGATTCTTTACACTTTCACTTATTTTTATGTACTTTGTCCAGATCTAATAGATTTCAATCTTAATTCATAGTTTTACACTCAAAAATTTGAACAAAACTGTTTTTTTTTTGTTTCTGATGTCTGGAGCCAAAAGTGGCCATTGATGTTTGGAGCTTGTTGCGATAGTTATTGGAGAGGTAACAATGTTGAGAATAACGAGTCAGAGTGACAGGAAGATATTTTTAGTAGCCCAAAGATGAGAGTCGCCGACGTCTCTACCGTTAATGATACTGTCGAATATGTCATCATTACACCACTATCAACCATATATCTTAATATATCTCAAAAGATAGATAAAAAAAATAAGAAACAATGATTAAAGATAATTTGTCTGGAAAAATGAATTTGGAAGCAGCAGATTCCATTACAAAAAATTATAGAAAACTGTAAAGAGAGAGGAAGAAGAAGGTTACATGGTCCCACTTTATTTTAGCTAACGTAATGTGTATTAGCTGTCAATGTTATTTAGTTAGTTTTTGAATGAAAATGAGATTTAGTTAGACAAAAGTGTGTGAGTAGCTGAAACTGCCTTATTGTGTCATTAAAACTTATAAACTGCCTCTCAGTGTAATTGTTTCTTTGCACCCTCAACACTATCCTAAAGCCGGCACCGTCATGAGAAACTCTCAAAAAAAAAAAAGAATCAGTATTTTAATTTTATAATTATATTTCTGCAATATTAAATCATTAAACACTAGATATATGTTATATGGGTTTCTCACAATTCAAAGAAAGTTTATGTTCCAAAATACAATCACTCACCTCTCTTTTTATTTCTTATTTTCAAAATTTTATTTAGGCATGCGCATTCGGATATTCAGTTTGGTTCCGGATAGGAACTATTCGGTTCCGGATAGGAACTATTCGGTTCCAGGTATATTGGATAAATCATTCTTATACCCAATAGATACTTATGAGATTTCTATTCGGTTTTGGTTCTGTTACAATTCGGTTTCGATTCGGTTCCGGGTACCCGTTTAATATAAAAATTAAAAATATCTATACAAAATATATTAGTTAATATGTTAATCTAAATGGTCTAGTATTTACACGCTTACATATTCGTCAACCAACAAAATTTCGAATCAATAAAAAGTTAATTTTATAAATATTTATCGTATTTTAATAATCTCTCTGTTAAAATAGATCCATATTCTAGAAAAAAAATTGATTTCAAAAAGTTACATTTTCTACATTTTCAATGTACTTGTTAATGTGGTTTAGTGGTAAAAATGTATTTACTCTTTGTATCCAACATTGGTTCAATGGGGTTTAATATCATTTTATCTTATATTAAAAAACTTTAATTTGTTTGTTCAGATATTCGGGTACCCGTTCGGTTCTCGGTTTGGTTCTGGTTCCGGTTCGGTTTTTCGGATATAGAAATATAGGAACCATTCAGATATTTAAGAATTTTGGTCCGGTTTTGGTTTCAGATATTTTGGTTCGATTCTGGTTCGGTTTTTCGATTCCGATTTTTTTGCCCACGGTTAATTTTATTCATGAGAAACCCTGTTATAACTTCCCATTAAAGATGGTCTAAACATCATACACTCCTCCTTTTTGTATGAATACATTCCTCGATTTAATCTATCATTATACATTTTTAACTACTTATCATTAAAGGAAGTAAAAACGAAGATATAGATAAATATGCACTAAGCTACTCAGAAGTCAGAAGAAATCGCTATTTCCTTTTAACAATTGTTTTTCTGAAGTAAATTATACAAAAACGTTTTATTAAATTGTGATGTTTTTGGGTTCTTTTCTATATGGGTTTTGACTAGTTTTGGAGTTGGGCAAGTCCTTAACGAGTGATGCCTTCCTGCATGGGTTAACAGTGTGGACCGAAACCTAAAAAGATTAAGTGGCCACACAGTTTCATATTGGAATAAAACCAGTATTAATGTAACTAGTTAACCCCTTTGATCCTAGAGTTAAGAAACTCCTCTGCGGTTATTTTTCTTGTTTTTGGTTATTTAAAGGTGTAACTCCTCAATGCTGGTTGTTTACGAAAAATAGATGGGTAGACGATCTATTTACCCATGAGAACTATCATATAGCATCAGATCCCCACCGAACTATGACCTCATGCTAGATCTCCACGAATTGAAAATTGCAAACCTATTTCTCCCCGAATTAAAAATTGCAAACTTATTTCTCCCCGAATCAATACTTCAAAACTTAATTACCCACAGACGATGGTTTTAATTGGTTTATTCTTAACCAAACATCTTAAAATCAAGTAAACCAAACCAAAATCCAATTAAATAAAANGGTTTTAAGATGTTTGGTTAATAATAAACCAACTAAAACCAATTAAAACCATTGTCTGTGGGTAATTAGGTTTTGAAGTATTGATTCGGGGAGAAATAAGTTTGCAATTTTCAATTTGTGGGAGTCTAGCATGAGGTCATAGTTTGGTGGGGATCTGATGCTATATGATAGTTCTCGTGGATAAATAGATCGTCTACCCAAAATAGATATATGTAAAATCTTTTGCACGAAAAAGATTGCACAAGAGACACGTAAATAAACAAGGCAAAAGATATTAAGCTAGATGGGCTTCCAACTTAAAACCAATTGGTGATAAGTGGAGTGGCCCATCTATCTTATATATTGCTAGGGATCCCTTCCAACAATCGATGTGGCACTTTAGTCCATAATATGCCCCCTCGAGATGATGGCTCTTTGGTGCCAATCTCGGAATGTTCGGGCAAGGATCGATGGGCCATCTTTGGACCAGATCGATGAGGATCGGATTGGACTGCGTGGATCGTGGGCTCTGATACCATATTAAGCTAGATGGGCTTCCAACCTAAAACCAATTGGTGATAAGTGGATTGACCCATCTATCTTATATATTACTAAGAATCCCTTCCAACTTCCGATGTGGGACACTTTGTGTCTAATATATTATGGACTAAAGTCCCACATCGATTGTTGGAAGGGATCCCTAGCAATATATAAGATAGATGGGCCACTCCACTTATCACCAATTGGTTTTAAGTTGGAAGCCCATCTAGCTTAATATGGTATCAGAGCCACGGTCCACGCATTCCAACCCGATCCTTATCGATCCAGCCCAAAGTCGGCCCATCGATCCTTGCCCGAACATTCCGAGATTGATGCCAGAGAGCCATCATCTCGAGGGGGCGTATTAGACACAAAGTGTCCCACATCGGAAGTTGGAAGGGATTCTTAGTAATATATAAGATAGATGGATCAATCCACTTATCACTAATTGGTTTTAGATTGGAAGCCCATCTACCTTAATAAAAGAGTGAGAGGCGCATAAACGTACAAGCTCAGAATCCAAACTTGTCTCTTTTTGTTTCCTCCGAACCGAACCCGACTAAAATCATTTAATGACACACACACATCATCTTTTGGTACGTTTCCTGTACTTCTTCATTGTCTCTATTTGGTTTCACTTTAGCATTTGTAAACAAACAAACAAAAAACCCAAAAGTTAAATTCAAATCCCACGGACAAATGGTGCAAAACTCATGCACCCATCTTTTGGCGGATCGATAAATCATAAGAGAAAAAAACAAAAAAAAATCATATAACCAAATCAACATAAATAACAACCAAAAGAAACTTTATAACCAAACCAAGTCCCATAATGGATACAAATATCTTCGTTATACATACACACACACACACAAGCACACATATCCATAGTATAACGTAATACATTGATTAAAACTTGATTACCTTAATGGTGATATTGTTGTTGTTCGACAATGTTAATAGTGTTGTGACTACTCATTCTCTGTCTCTTAGCATTCACAGAAGAAGATGATTCTTCAACGTTACTCTTCTCCATCACCCCCTTCAAAGCTTCCTCTATCATCCCTATACAATACTCTTCCATATCCTCCCCGGAGCTCTCTTCTCCAGTGACAAACAACACATTCTTAACTCTACCCCCGACGGTGGTTATCTCCGCCTTGAGCGTTTTGAGACGCATCGCTTTCAACGTTTTGATCATGTCCGGCAATAGATCCGACCTGTCTTCACAACAAAGCGACGCTTTAATTACAAATCTGCCATCTTCGGTTTCTTCCTCCTCCGTGAAAGCCACCGTTAACTCGTTGCTCTCCGTTGGAACCAAGTTTGTCTCCGAGATCACTGAAGTCTCTCTCTTCAACTCTTTCACGTGTTGAATCACTTCCGCTAGTAATGACGCTTTATCAGTCTGCATGCCGAAAGATAAACATATCATAATCTCAAACGTAACATAATCACAAACATAAATTTGTTATTATCGAGGAGAAAATGATGTGGTCGACTTAGTGATGATTTGGTCCAGCAATAAGGTTTTTTTCTTTTTTTGCTTTTATTCTTTCTGAGCAGCGCCGTTTGTTTCTCTTTATTACATCAAAATTAACCAAGAAGCGACATCGACATTCCATATTCCCACACTTTTTTATTTATTCTATAGTCTCTGTCTGATTCTTTCCTCGGGAATTTAACAAATACCCATAAGATCCAAGATTCAAGAGAAAACCTTTGAGTAACTTCGTTCCTTTTATAAAACCCTAAATGTAATTTAAAAGACAACATGTGACATGAACTTTCATTTCACAGCTGCTATGTTTGTCCATTTCAACTCTACATTGTTTGTAATATTATTATGTATTTAAATTATAATTTTGAATCTAAATTGTTTGTCATGATCATGAATGTGCAATTTATGTAAAAATTTGAAGTATAAAAAAATTGTGACTTATACTGATAAAAAAAAAAGTGTGACTTACTTTGGTGGTGTTGGGTAGTATACTACGGAGCTTAGCAAGATGATTGTTGATTCTTTCTCTTCGTCTTCTCTCAGCTTCACTATGACTCTTTGAAGCGGCCAAGGCTTTGGCATCCATGATCTCTTGTGTTGTCATCTTCCCTAACTCAGCTTGTAGCCCGAAAGGACCCGACCCAGCTTGCACTACCGGACCTAAAGCCTCTGACAAGATCCGAAGCTGTTCATGATGATGATGATGAGTTGTTGACGTGGCTCCACCAAAGCCCTCGTATTCAAACTGTAATCCCTGGTGATTAGCTCGACTTCTGTTAAAGAAACTCCCGTAGAAAGATGCTTGAGGAGGAGGAGGAAATGGATCGAACTGTGGTTGGGTCGAAGTAGGCCATATTGGGGAGTCGTGGGGGAAGATAGTGAATCCGGATCCGATGTTGTTACCTGGAGCTCCGAAAGTTTCGGACTGAGAAGGATCTTGGTGATGGTGATGGGATACAAGTTGGTGGAAAAAGAGGTCATTTGGGTAATTTTGTATGTTGTTCATGGCTCCTGAACTTTCTACTTCTTCTTCTTTCTTTGAGCACATCACTCTTTTCTATGAAGACATAAAGGTATCCATCTTTCTACTCTTTTTCCCACTCCCTCTCTCTCTCTTGCTCTATATATATGTGTGTGTGTGTGTAAAGGAAAGGTTGGTAAAGGAAGCTAGGAGTTGAGTGAGTTAAAAAGGAAAAAGCTTGCTCTCAGTATATAGGAAGAACACTTATATGCATTTGTATTACAGTGTTCCAAGTATGAGAGTTTGCAACTTGTGTGTTTGTGTTGTGGTGGAGTTAAGATTCTTTAGATTATTTCATCTACGCATTTAGATCTAATACTTCGTTGTCGATATTTATTTATTTATACTAGGGGTTAATCTGCCCGATGTGTAAAACTATTTAATTTTCAAATGTTAATTATATAACTATTCTTATATTTGTATATTTAATTATTTTCTATATTATATATTTACTTATTCTGATTTTCTTATATTTTTATATCAAATGATAATACTACAACAAATGTATAATGTAAGATTTTTATTTCGGGAAAATTGTCATTTAAATCACCAACTTTCAAATTTGGTTGAAATAAAACACCAACTTTTTCATAAGCCAAAAAAACACTCAACTTTTATTGACAAGCCATTTTAATCACAAACTTTCGTCGACCATACCAATTTAGGCATATTGTTAGTCAACAGTTATAGTTGACTAACGGTAGGCCTAAAATGGCTTTTAAAGTTGGTGTTTTTTTTGGCACAAAGATAAATCAACAATTTTTCAATATTTTAGCTTTTAAATATTGAAACTTTTAATAACTATAACACTAATAAATAAAATTGTAAATAAAAAATAAATTCCATTCAAAAATATAAAAATAACTCAATGTAAAATTATTAATTAACATATCCTTAATTGGGTATTTTAGTTGAAAAATGATTATGATTTTTAAATTATTTACGATTAATTTTTAGAAAATATTAGTATCATCCTACACGGATTATGTTTTATAATTTTACTGTCAAAAATTTGTTAGTAAAATATTATTTCAATTCTTGATTTTTTAAACAAAATGAGTTACCGATAACAAAAAAAGTTATCTATTTTGGTGAAACTTATTTTTTTTTTAGAAGCAAAAAACCTCTTGTAAAATTTTTATAGAAAATATATAGATTTGTTTGAAGATCTTTATTATAAACTTAAAGAATCATGAATAATTTGTTAATCGACAATTTTTTCATTTAAGAAACACGAGTTGAACTAATATTTTATCAACAAAATTTTGAAAAAAAAATTATAAAACATAATTCAAATAGGATTATATAAATATTTAAAAAAATTAATCGTAAATAATTAAAATATTCTTATCATTTTATAACTAAGATACTCAATTAATGTATGTTAACTAATTATTTTACATTGAGTTTTATTTATATTTTTTCTAGAATTTTTATTTATAGTTTTATTTATTAGTGCTTCTGTTATAAAAATATTTACAATATTAAAAATATATCCAATATTGTAAAAAAAAAATATTGATTTATATTTGTGCCAAAAAAAGCATCAACTTTGAAAGCCATTTTAGGCCTACCGTTAGTCAACTATAACTGTTGACTAACGATATGCCTAAATTGGTATGGTCGACGAAAGTTTGTGATTAAAATGGTTTGTTAATAAAAGTTGAGTATTTTTTTGGCTTATGAGAAAGTTGGTGCTTTATTTCAACCAAATTTGAAAGTTTGTGTACTTATTTAGTACTTACTTTACTATACATTTATCAGTATATTTAATTATTTTCTATATTATATATTTACTTATTCCGATTTTTTATTTTTTATATCAAATGATAATGCTACAACACATGTACAATGTAAGATTTATATTTCTTGTTTTTGTATATTCACTTAGTACTTATTTTAGTATACACTTATCAGATAGAAGATTAACGTATTTTTTCTATGTTTTATATTGAATATTTATTTCATATTTATTTTTTCTTATATTGTATATTTAATTATTCTAATATCAGGATAAATGTTTAATGTAATATTTCTATTTTTGATATTTTATATTTACTTATTGTTTATTATATTGTATATTTATTTACTCTAACTTTTTAGTTTTTATATTAAATCATAATACTACAATAGATTGTTTTTGTTCCAAAAAAACAATAGATCTTTAATGTAATATTTCTATTTTTTGTATATTTAATATTATTTGTTTTTCTTATATTATATACTTACTTATTCTAATATTACTATAGATGTTTAATGTTATATTTCTATTTTTAAATTTCATATTTCATATTTACTAATTATTATTTTACTATACATTTTTCAGATAGATGTTTAATTTAGTTTTTTCATTTCTTATAATTTCTATTTTTTTCTATTTTTTCTATTTTTTCTATTTCTTAAATTTTTTTTATATTGTATATTTACTTATTCTAATTTTCTTGTTATATTAATTGATAATATTACAATAAATATTTAATATAATATTTATGTTCCTTATATTGTTCATTACTTATTATTTATTTTATTGAATATTTACTTATAAAAAATTTAAAAATAAAATTGAAAACTATACATTTTCAGATAGATATTTAATGTAATTTTCATTTATTATATTATATATTTACTTATTATTCATTGTTCCGTATATGAAATATTTACTTATTCTAACTTTGTTTTCTTTTATATCTGATAGTAATGTAACGATAGATGCTTAATATAATATTTTTATATTTAACGTTGTATATTTACTTATTATTTATTTTAATATACATTTTTCCTATATTTTAGATTTACTTATTTTTTATTTTGTATATTTACTTGTTTTAATATTCAGATAAATGTTTAATATAATAATTTATTACTTATATTGTATAATTATTTATTCTAATATTGGGATATATGTTTAATATAATATTTATATTTTGCCTATTGTATATTTACTTATTATTTATTTTTGTATACATTTTATTTATTAACTTATTTTAATATTATGATACATGTTTAATGTAATATTTTTTTCAGATATATTATTTATTTTTTCTTATATTGTATATTTACTTATTCTAATAAAAGGTTAAATGTTTAATATAATATTTCTATTTCTTATATTATATATTTATTTATTTATACATACATTTAATTTAATATTTATATTTTTATATTGTATATTTACTTAGTATTAATTTTACTATACATTTTTCAGTTAGATGATTAAAGTATTTTTTCTATTTTTTTTATATTGTATATTGTATTTACTATTTTATTGTATATTTACTTATTCTAATTTGAGGATAAATGTTTCATGTAATATTTTTATTTTTATATTATATATTTACTTATTGTTTATTTTATATTAAATGATAATATTACGATAATGTTTAACGTAATATTTTTATTTTTATATTTTTTTATTTAGTGATTATTTATTTACTATAATTTTTTTGTATTGATGTTTAATTTAGTTTCTCCTTTCTTATATTTGATATTTACCATATTTTCTTTTTCTAATTTTTTTGTTGGTATATGAAATGATAATATTAAATAAATTTTTAATGTAATATTTCTATTTCGTATATTGTATATTACTTATTATTTATTTTTATATTATATTTTTATTTATACAATATTTGGAAAAAATAAAGATGTAAAACTATACACTTTTCACATAGATGTTTAATGTAGTTTTTTATTTCTTATATTGTATATCTACTTATTATTTATTGCTTCTTATATTAAGTATTTACTTATTCTAATTTGTCTTTTGCTTTTATATGCCATGGTAATATTATGGTAGATGCTTATTGTAATATTTTATATTTAAAATTGTATATTTACTTATTATTTATTTTAATATACATTTTTCAGGTAGACGATTAATGTATTTTTTTATTTTGTATATTTACTTATTCTCATTTTCTTGTTATATCAAATGATAATATTACGATAAATATTTAATGTAATATTTCAATTTCTTATATTTTTATTACTTATTATTTATTTTTTATTCTGAATATTTACTTAAAAAAATATTTGAAAATAATAAAAAGTAAAAGTATACATTTTATATTGTATATTTACTTAATATTTATTTTAATACACATTTGATTTATTAAGTTATTTTAAGATTACAATACATATTTAATGTAATATTTCTATTCTAATATTATATATTTACTTATTATTTATTCTTCTTAGATTGTATATTCACTTATTATTTAAATATGGGTTACACATGGAAGAATACATTTGAGTTGATGATGAGGAGTAATTCGATTCCCATAAGTGTGTCCCTCTTTGTGAAGTTTCGGGCTTCCTAAAAATGAAGTAGTCTTACAAAAAAAAATTTGGTTAAAGAATTTTCCTTGGAGGTCGTCAAACGTTTTTAGCACATGGAGATTTAATGGTGGAGCCATTGTTTTTTTTTGCTGGAGTTTTCTTTGATAGAGGCAACGGTGTGAGTTAAATAGTAATGTTATGTTATGGAGATAAGCCGTCATTTTTAGTGATTATGTAAAATGGTAATCTTTTATATATTTAATGTAGTATTTCTGTAATATTAAAATGTAAAACTATGCATTAAATCGATATTTTCAGATATTTTTTTTAGAAAATGTAATGTTAATCTTACATATGTTAAAGTAGTATTTCCATTTTTATGTTATATGTTAACATATTATTTATTATTTTTAGTGAGAAAAGGATAATTTTTTAATGTAAAATGGTAATCTTATATAATATTTAATGAAGTATTCTCTGTAATATTAAAATGTAAAGCTATACATTAGATCAATATTCTCTTTTAATAAAATAATAATGTTACATTATGGAGATAAACCACATTTTTAGTGATTAATGTAAAATAAAGCATTGCGCATGTGTGTATAATAGAGTGAGTGAGTGAGTGAGTGAGAGAATTGTAATATGGATCACCATCTTGTACTTTCATGGAAAGAACTTCAACAAAAAACTATGCCATCTCGGCACCTGAATTCGTATAAGGTATCTCTAACCTCACTACATAATGTACTGCAAAATGGAGTAAGAAATTGAGGGATGAAGAAACAAAAACTCAATTACTCTATTTATGGAGTAATCTAATTTTTTTTCTTGATCACTCTATTTTCCACTGTATTTTAGGGTAAATTATGGAGTGGAGATGGAAATACTCTAAGTAATTAGTTTTTTCTTTTAGCTATTCATGATATATTTTGTTAACCATGAATTTTTTTTCTTTTTGTTACGATGAGAATGTGTTTAATATCCAGCCGAGACTAGGACTCAAGA